TCACTATGTGTTAACAGACCTCTCTGCATTGAATCATATCTGTTATTAATCTCTGTCTCTCTTCCACAGCATGTCTTTATCCTGAATCGCAACTGAATTGAATCACAATAATCAACAGCAGCTTTACTGCTACTCAAGACTTTAACTTTAATAACAGATTTGTCACATTGGTAGACCATAATTTAATGATTGCCTTCCTGTATTATAGCAATTATATATTGTTAGCTATATTGTAGATGTTTGATTTCAGTATCTACAACTACAGTGAATACAATGGTATTTATGTTAGTCCCAGCTTGCATGATGGGGGGTTGTATTAAACCACAATGAAAGTTTTTGTCAAAGTGTTTTCTTCCAACACTTTCACATTCTAATTATATTCTTTTTCTGTATAACACACAAATTATTTTTAAATTAATCATAAATTACATATTTATTCATTTATTTTCTTATGTTGTAAATTTGCACTGCACAGTCTCTTATTTCTCTTTTGTGTGTTATATTCTGGACTTTCGTGTGACCCTGCATGCTCCATCGGTCTGTCTTTGCTGCTGGAACACATGAATCTCCCCAATGAGGAACAACAAAGGATATTTCTGTTCTACTCTATTTCTATTTGTAAATAATATCTGAATTATTTAAAACAAAAAAAAACCCTCAGTGGGTAAATATCATCAGCTCCCTGACACACACAGACTGATTGCTGATTTTCACAAAGTGGGAAATGGATATACGAAGTCATCACAACTTTTCCAAGTGACAAAAACTGGAGCGAGAAGGATCATCAAGAAATTCAAAGAGAGCTGAAAGTACTGAACAAACTACTGAGAGATGGGTTTAAAGACCCCAGCAGACAGTAGTGAATGACTTCACCAAGTTGGGAATTGTAGTCTCAAAGAAGAAAATCACAAGAACCTTAAACAGGAACAGACTGACAAACTGGGAATCTCATCAAGATGGAAGGAATCAAAATATGTCACAGAAAACCTCAAGTCAGCAGCAAAACTACGTCAAGGTCATTGCTTTGTCTTCCAACATGACAACAGCCCAAAACATATGACACTCCTGATGAAGAACTTCCTTTACAGGTCCAAAGTGAACATTACTGCCTGGGCTCCACAAAGCCCTCCTACTGAAGATCTATGGGGTGAACTGAAGAGCAAGGTCCATGCCAGAGAAGCTTGAGAGATTTACCAAAGAAGAATGGGCTGAGCTAATCATTTATTTCCATGGTAGCTAGCTGCACATACCTGATTGTCGTCTACTTCAACAACGGCAGTAAAAAAGGACCAGCTGCGCCATCGAGTATCCGCCAGACAGTCAGCCTCTGAATAGGCCAAACTTTGCTCTGTAGTGACTACTTTGTGTTGTTGTTTTTGTGTGTCGGCTGGAGAGAGTTTACAAATGAGAAGCAAAAAAGAGCCGTCTGATATTCAAAGTATATTCAAAGGTGAGAACAGGCTTTTCCCTGCAGCACGGTATGTAATAAAGACTCACTAAGAGAATAGTGGCATTTACCAGAAGTACAAATACTTCATTAATGTACTTAAGTAGAAATTTCAGAATCAGCTATTTATTCTCAATAATCCCGAGTAAACCATCACCAAACTGGTTTAGATCTCTGGAATCGTCCATTTCTAAATTGCTTTGAAAGATAAACTTGTGTATTATCTTAAAAATGCTTCAAAGGACCAAGGATGAAGCTCCTGAACGGGTCCGGGACAGGCTTGCGGACCAGGTGTTCTGGCTGGGACTGGGAGTTTGGGTTCTGGGTCATGGCTGGGGTGTCACCAGGGTTGTGGGTTGGTGCATGCAGGCCCCCGTGCATGGGGGTTTGGCCCTGGCAGACTTCAGCAAATCAGTGGAAGTGGGGGCCTCTTTAGCTAACGGGTAGGTTGGGACCATCTTTTGCAGGTGGTCTCTGCTCTTCGGGAGTCCACTCTGTGGGTGGGGGGGGTCTAGCAGAGGTGGAGGATGGGTGAACCTGGGTGTCTATTGACTGAATGTTGGGGTGGACCGGGACGGTTTGCTTGTCTCCACCCCGGGGACCATGGTGGACACCAGAGGTGAAGGGAGCCACCAGGTGGAAGAAGGGGTCCTATTGGGCTTTTTAGCCTGTGGGACTTTGGAGGCAGCTGATAGGTACCGACAGGCCAAGTGGAACGCAGCTCGGGCAGTGGGTGAAGCAAAACCTCGGGTGCGGGGGGAGTTTGGAGAGGCCATGGAAAAAGACTTTCGGATTGCCTTGAAGAGATTCTGGCAAACCGTCAGACGACTCAGGAGGGGAGAGTGGTGCTCTACCTGCACTGTGTATAGTGCGGGTGGAGCACTGCTGACTTTGACTGAGAACACTGTCAGGCGGTGGAAGGAATAAACAAAATACTCCTTAATCCCACTGTCTTCCATGACAAAAGCAAAGTCCGGGGACGGCTCGTCTATCCCCGGGGGTGAGGTCACTGAGGCAGTTAAGGAACTGCTTGGTGGTAGGCCCCCTGGGGTGGAAGAGGTTTACCCAGAGTTCCTGAAGGCTCTGGATGTTGTAGGGCTGTGTGGTTGACACGCCTCTACAATGTTGTTTGATCAGTGATGGTACCTCTAGATTGGCAGACCGGGGGGGTGGGGGGGGGTGGGTGGTTTCCATCTTTAATAAGGGGGACTGGAGGGTGTGTTCCAACTATAGGAGGATCACACTCCTCAGCCTCCCTGGAAATGCCAGGGAGCTGGAAAGGAGAGTCCATCCGTTAGTCGAACCTTAAATACAAGAGGAATAATGCGGTTTTTGTCCTGGTCGTGGAACACTGGACCAGCTCTTCACCCTCTCGTGGATACTTGAGGGTGCGTGGGAATTTGCCCAACCAGTCTACATGTGTTTTATGGCCCTGGAACTTACTGATTCTTTACATTGATGCTATGGTTATTTTTCTTTCTTGTACTGAGACAGTGATTGTAATTCTCTGACACTGGGTCTTTGTTAGGACAGTGAAAAAAAATCAGGGCTTAGCCCAGCCCTGAAATCTTTTTTTTTTCCCCCCCAAAAAAAGCAACTTTTTAAAAGTTTTTACTATATTTTTGTCATGGTCCCGGTCGGTGAGCCAGTGTTTTGAGTTTTGCACTTCTACTTTTTATTTTATCATGGATTATGACTGCTTGTGCTTTGGTTTCTGCCCTAAGTATTTCTAGCTCCTTAGTTCTGTAGTACTTCCTGAGTTCTAATTCTTAGGTTTTGTTATTTGGCTTCCCGGTGTTAACTCTGTCCCACACTTCAGGTCTCTGTGTTCTGTCTCCCCAGTCTCTACTAAGTTTACGTGTCTAGAGTTCAGCCGGTGTGTTTCCTGTTTTACTTTGAAGGTCCGTGTCTCATGTCAGTGTTTCTAGTTTTGCTTCCCTTTGGTCTCGTCGTGTCTGATTTCTTCCAGCTGTGCTCTCCTCCTGTGTCTTATTCCCCTCGTTATGCCCCAGTGTATTTAAGCCCTGTGTTTCTCTGTGTCAGTGTCGCGTCCTCCCTCATGCTGTGTGATCCCTGGTGTGGAGTTTTAGGTTTTGGTTTCCCAGTCTAGTTTAGTTCTGTTATTAAAGCAGCGTTTTTTTGAGTTCATTCCTGTGTGTTGCGCGTCCTGCATTTTGGGTCCTCTTCCTGCCTGACCACAGCCGAATCTGGACAATTTTACAGTTAAATAAATATTTAGAAATACACACTGAGTGCTACCTAAAGGCTGAAGTAAGATGTGTGTAGCTGCCTGTCACAGAATGATACTACGATTAACTATCAGTGCAGTAAGAGTTCTTCAGCTTCGTTACTATTTTTTATTTTAAGCAGCAGCGTAAAGCTCGATGAAGTAGTTACATGCATATTTAAGCTTTACCAGCTCTGGTCTCAACGTATCTGCTTCTATTCTGCCAAAATGGCCATTTTAAACTGTTACCTGTGTTTGGTCTTTTGGGTACTCACCTCTTCCTCACCTTCACCTGGCGTCTCATCAATCTGCTGCACTCTTAATTTCCTCTACTCTCCTCCCTCGCTCCTGTCCTGGTTGTTACAAATAATGCAATCAGGATGTATCAAACAAACTATGTTGCAAATGTTTTGATGTGACGATTAGTATTACTACATTATTACATACTTTATATTTTAAACACAGATTTTAGCATATATTTAACATATCAGATTGAATTAAAAGCAAAAACCTAATGTTTCTGTTTCATAAGACCAAGTCACTAATGAATACAGGCTAATATTTATTATACACTACCAGTCAAAGTGTGGACACAGCTTCTGATTTAATGGGTTTTCTTTATTTTCACGACTGTTTACATTGTAGATTCTCATTGAAGGCATCGACACTATGAATGAACACATGTGGAATTATGTAGTAAACAAAAAAGTGTGAAATATCTCAAAACATGTTTGATATTTTAGATTCTTCTAAATATCCACCCTTTGCTTTGATTCCTGCTTTGCTCACTCTTGGCTCTCTCTCTGAGCTTCATGAGGTCGTCGCCTGAAATTGTTTCCAACAGTCTTGAAGGAGTTCACAGAGACGCTGAGCACTTGTTGGGCCTTTGGCCTTCACTCTGAGCTCCATCTCATCACAAACCATCTCCACTGGGTTTAGGTCAGGTGACTGTGGAGGCCAGATCACCTGGTCAGCACTCCATCACTCTCCTTCTTGGTCAGATAGCTCTTACACAGCCTGGAGGTGTGTTTGGACTCATTGTCCTGTCAAAAATAAAATAAATGATGGTCCAACTAAATGCAAACCAGATGGGATTTCAAATACGGCTGTCAGCTGTGTCCCATCATGACTTCTGCACAACACAACTGATGGTCCCAACCTCATTAAGAAAGCAAGAAATCCCACCAATGACCCCTGACAGGCTCACCTGTGAGGTGAAACCATTTCAGGTGACGACATCATGGAGCTCACTGAGAGAAGGCCGAGGGTTTGCAGCGCTGTCAACAAAGGGTGTCTACTTTCAGGAATCTTAAATATAAGACTTATTTAGAGTTATTTTTGATTTTTCTTTGATACGTAATTCCATATATCTGGCTTCATACACTCGATGTCTTCAGTTTGTGTCTACGATGTTGAAAGTAGTAAAAATAAAGAAAAACCATTAAATGAGTAGGTGTGTCCAAACTTTTGACTGGTAGGTACATCAGCCAGCATTTCATTCCCATTTAATCCCACTGGATTCCATCTAATGACATCTGTCTTTCCAGCAACATCACGTCCTATTTAAGTAACACGTTTTTTTTCATGTAATTCTGCATTCAGTATTCAGATTTAATCATTAGACTGTATTGTGTCTTCAAATGGTAAACGGACTGAAAGAGGAAAAGCAGAGCTATAGTCAAGGTCGGCGTGGGTCAGTGGGGCTTTAGGCACAGCTGCACATGTTCATACATTTTGGTTGCTGTACTTCAGCATCTACAAAAAAATGAGTGAGCATATAGGCAGAGAGGTTTTTTTTAATTGGCATGCAATTTTAAATCCAACGTTTCTATCGGCTCTATAAACACAGCAAACACACAAACTGTTTGTATGCAGTTTTATACACAGTGTGCTGCAGCGAAAGGTCCAGCTGCTGAATCTGGCTGGGAGAAAAAAGAAAGAGCCAACTTCACTCAGAGATGGAGGAAGATAAGAAAGCCAGGACAGGAAGAAGAGAGCTTAGATTTAAAGGCAACGACTGTCCAGTCGTTTTGATAAACTGGAAATTGAAAGCTTACATGTAAACACTTGTGTTTTTAAATCAGCTACTGGATGTGTACATGTGACATTATGTTTTTCATATTGTGAAACATGCTGCAAAACAAACACACAGCTCGCTAACTTTGTGTTATTGAAAGTGTGCATGAAAACGCTGCACTACAGGTCAGTGCAGGATAAACACATAACGTGATGGATTTAAAGTACAGACCAGTGACTAGTGCACAGTGGCTGTGGTGCTCATGGTCAGTTTCTTTCTCAGGATATGCCAAACTGTAGATTTAGCCCTGTTGTGTTACTTTCTCAGATGGTTTTTGGTCTGTTCTCCTGTTTCGCAGCTTGTTTCACCTGCATGGAGAGCTCCTTTGACAGCATGCAAGCACAACACCTCAGATCAACTCCAGGCCTTTTATCTGCTTACATGATCATGACATAAAGAACGAATTGCCCACACCTGCCAATGTCAAATGTCCAATTACTTTTGGTCCCTTTAAAAAGAGGGTGGCACATGTTAAGGAGCTAAAATTCCCACTGTTCCCAAGGCCACTGTTCCCAAGGCCACTGTTCACCGGTTGTCCTAGTTTCGATTATGCATATGAACTGTTTATAGTGTTGGGGAAATCTGCAGTCAGCACATCTGCAGGCACAGTCCCTGGTTGGACGTTCTTAAAGGGATACAGCAAAGATCAATCTAATGAGTCTGCACACACACACACGCACGCGCACACGCACACGCACACACACACACACACACACACGAGATAATGGAGATGCATGTTAGAAATGGCATGTTATCCAGCCACAGCACAGCAGGCTGATTTACACCAGTGTCCACAGCCCTGTTTTTGTTCCACCTCCAGGATCTGTTATGATTTGTATGCAGATGGTAAACGGTTCCATTTCTGAGGGCCTTCAAATGAAAACGCTGACTGACCAAATAATGTGTTGTACTTTGGTAGTCTGCAGGCTCCATGATCCTCTGGTCCCAGCTCCTGTACGATATTCAAACTCATCCACTTTTTGGATTTCTCTCTGATCTATCACAATGGTTCAAGTTCATCAAATTTTATTCGCCACATGCAGTAAACTGCAGTGAAATGAACCCGCCCCCCGACCTTAAAAGTTATTCCAGACTTTACACCAGATTGTAAAACACCCTGAGAGCGTTTTGTTACAGTTCAGAGTCAAAGAGTGATCGCTGAACCACCGAGACACTCCCACCACCTCTGTTCAGCTCTGCTGCCTGTCGTGGAGTCTTTGCAGATACATATGTAATAGCATCATCTGCATACATCTGACACTGGACACCTTTACAACTGTCCATAAGTCACTGATGTAGAAACAGAAAAGCAGCAGTCCTAAAACGGACCCCTGTGGAACTCCCACACAATTTTGAAAGCTTGATTTCATTACATGAACTCTTCTCTATTTGCAGATATGAGCTGGGACATTTTGGACTAAGGTCTTATTATTACAGGTAAGTATTCAGAATAGCCCACCCTGCACAGGTGTCAGTCTGTCACCTTCATCTGCCACAGGCTGTCAAAGCTACAGCACTGCAATGTCTAACTAAGATTTGTTTCGTATGATTGAGTTGATTTCTCTTATGCTATAACTTCAAAAAACTCAAATATGTCATAGTAACAAACCCATGGCAGACCCGACCACACAACCATTCTAAACACGCTTTTATTCCGGTTGTCGTTCTTTTTCAGCTGAACACACACCAACAACAACTCAGTCAGGACCCAGTACGGGTCTAATGCAGCTGCGGTGTGGCAGCCTCCCTGCAGCGGTGCTGTCAAACATCATTCCCACACACTGGGTGACACAGATATTATGTCAATATGCAGAATCTCTGGGTCACGACTACTGTAAGCCACCTTTCTGATGAAGATGATTAGTCACAAAATCATCTGAAATAGCTGATTCATTTGTGATCAGTCTCATTCACTCAGTCTGAGAGGATGCAGCGTTGCAGTAATCCATGTGAGCGACCCAGTTCATCACCAGCCTGTGGAAGTCATTCAAAGCGACTTTGTGGAGTTCTCCTGATGAACGTATCGTAACGTCTGGAGCGGTCTATGCACTACACCTACTACAATCATCCTAAGGTACTGAACAACAATGTGTTCATGACAGTGTTGTGGAAGCTGCTAAAGTGCTGCCCGACTCAGAGCCTGCAGAGCCTGCATCACTGTATCAGAGCACAGCAGGTTTGGTTTCCTGTTGTTGGACTTTGTTACAATAAACTGCAATTACAGAAATAACAGCACCAGGACAGTGGTATATGAACATTTTAGAGCTTAACATCAGTGTAAATAATATCATTCATATATTTAAAAGTACATGTTTCCTATTTTGTAATGATTTAATATTTCCTGACTATAGACAGCGCAGCGTGTTACTGATGGAGGCAAGAAAGTACTTTTTAACACAAGGATCTGTACTTTTACTTCAGTAAATGATGTCTGTACTTTTCCCTCGTGTGTTTTATTGGGACGCTTCCCCCTGTAACCATGGTTTCCCCCTCCCTGTGCACATACTCCGATAAAGGAAGGACACACGGTGTTGAGTTCACCGACCTGAGTTCGTGTCCCAGCAGCAGCTCGTTGTCCTCTCACAGGGCTGTTGCGCTCATGGTCCAAATGTTTCAGCTAGCCGAGTTATCCGCCGGCAGACTGCAGCACAGCTGCTACAGTCACACAGGTGGGTGAATGACGTTTGTCGGACACGGACCAATCAACACGGGCGCTGACGTTAGTGGGACCCGCCTCGTGGATGCTCAGCTGTGACTGGTTCATACTATTAAGGTAGGTCGGTCACAAAAATCCGTTTTTTTTAATGTGATTCGCCCGATAAACGTTTATCTTACGCTAATCCAAAAACACGCCCCAGGCTAACGACGCTGACGTCAGCGCTGCCGGAAATGACGGAAAATTACCGTCCAGGCCAATCAAATATTTGCGGTGGGGGAGGGATTTGCGTTTACGACGTAGCTATGACGTAAGCGTTAATCCCCGGTCTCTGTTCGAAGGGAAACGTTCAAGTGGGCGGGCACATTTGCGTGACCATAAATTTTACGGTAGGAGTGAATCATCACACAGCAGCCTTTAACCTGCTGCACCGACAGGACGAATAAATCACCCGTGACCAAGACGAGCTTCACCGTGGGAGAGCTCCAGTCACTGCCGGGTGTCTGTTACGGTCAGGAACAGGACGGGACACTCAGCTGTCTCCCGTCCAGCCAAGCATACCAACACCACACGTCTAAGACGTGACTGCGGGATAAACGGCTCCTCTGTTTGCTAGTGTCACCGCCCAGTGTACACAACACGAGAACACACAATCCTATTATATGACAATACAAAATGAATCTTACCCATTGTGCTACACACGGGCGTTCATGGAAGTCCGAAAGCCCCACGCACGGCGCAACGACACTGTACTTCCGACTAGTAAGCCGCATACATGAGACCGGGTTGACTTTACTGAAAATACGTCGCCCCCTGCTGGAGAAACCGGAGATACACGTGGAAGTGGGAAAAACTCAGTGCGTTAAAACATTATCCTCCGATGTAAACAAACGCAAAAATGTAAACACGTCATAAAAACAGGATTTCCTATTAATCCTGTGAGAACAATTACATTGAATACACAGTTTTAAACAGGCCTACATTAACAGTGGGGACACTCCAGGCTGTGATTCAAGTCTTCACATGATGCTAAAAGGTTTGACAATCTGAATGTTACAAAGGCAACAGCAAAAATGGAGATGGGTCTCTAAACGACGTCACCTAGAAATGTTCAGTCACACCAGTGCAACTGCTCATTATCCTTCCAGTGTTTAGCAGGTGAAACCTTACAAGGAGCAGAACACTACCCAAAGGAAGCATTGCAGTACCATCTTCACTGCCTTGCTTTTTCCCCACATGTCCCGATTCTGTCGCCACTCCAGGTAAACTTATCCAAGCAGCCATTCATATCACACCACGCTGACATGGCCACTGTAGTTTATTTGGGTGGTGGACAGGGATCGGCACTTTGCCCCTATACAACCCAGCATAGCTTTCAGCTGTATGTGCTCCAGTAGCTGTTCTGTGGGATCAGGCCACAGAGGCCAGGCTTCTCTGGGGTGTCTATGGGCAGAGGAATCCTGGTGGGCTGGTTATCTTTCCTTGGAGAACTTCACAAAAGGTTGAGTACCTACGTCAAACGCTGCTTTCTTTGGCCTTTAATCACAGATTGAACTAACAACATGAGAACAAACTGTGTGGCTAGTAGCAAAATGCCTAAAGATCCGATTACAATGGTTTATTTGCCTTGTCTGTCATAGAATTGCATCTAAATCTAGACAACACTGATTCATTCGTTCAGTTAGGTGATAATTGATTCATAGGTCATGTAGCTAAACAACATGCTTTCTGAAAACTGTACAAAGACTGGATAAAAACTGAGTGCAAAAGCAGGCACTGTCCAAAGAGACACTTTGAAAGTCTGTCCAACTATTGCTCAAGACCACATGTGTCGAACTCCAGGCCTCGAGGGCCGGTGTCCTGCAGGTTTTAGACGTGTCCTTGATCCAACACAGCTGATTCAAATTGCTAAATGACCTCCTCAACATGTCTCGTAGTTCTCCAGAAACCTGCTAATAAACTAATCATGTGATTCAGGTGTGTTGACCCAGGGTGAGATCTAAAACCTGCAGGACCCTGCCCCTCGAGGCCTGGAGTTCGACACCCCTGCTCAAGACCAATTACAAGAAAGTTGGGTCATTGGAAACAAAATACAAACAAATTCAAAACTTTTGCTCAATATGACAGTAAACGCAGATTCAGAAATGATACAATTCAGGTTTTAATTGTTGACTCTTGTTGACCCAGTGAGGTCACCTCCTAGTTATGGTCCTTCATCCACTGTTCAGTCCAATGCACTATCTGCTCCAGGTTGTGCTCCATGTCCTCAGGAGTGTTGCTGGGAAGTTGGTGGACAATCTCCTTACTGTAGGCCTCCATGGCTTCCTCATAGATGGTCTGGAAGATCTCACATTGCACATTGTCCTGCAGCTTTTTTCCCGTGTAGCCCCTTTCAGTCACAAAGAAGACAGGGACAACTTGGTTCAATGGTTAAAACGATGAATTATCACTCAAATACAAAGAGACAGGGAACCAGACACGGTGGCTGCAGACGAGTTCCTGGAAGTTCTCATTTTTACAGCTTTCTTACGGAAAAAAAAGACAAGTCTCACAGCACTTGCTATTTCTGGAACCTGGATGGCTCAGCCACGTGTTCACAGTCATTATCCAGGAGTAGAGAATGACTGTGATGCCTATGATAGAGCTACATTTACCACAAGCAGTGACAGCTCTGCTCTCGTCTGTATGCAGAAGGTGCTGAAGCTGGTTAGAGCTTGGAGCTGCAGTCAGCCATGTGTCTTAGCTCCCAGCCACACAGGCTGAATGTGTTTGTCCAAGCAGACTGTGTCACAACTTCAAAAGCACCGTTTTAAATTCAAACTGTTAATAGCTGCCATATGCTACGTAATAATTCAATGACAAAACCAGTGTAGTGTACTGCAGGCTAACACTGTAGTGAAGAACTATCACATTATTTAACTATGATTAATTCATGAATCAGAAATCTCATCGTTTTCACTTCAGCAACAAATGTATTTCCCTCCAAATCAAACGCTGTCATGTTGCAGCCTCGTTTCAAAACTCTTCAAATTCCATTCGCACCTGTAAAAAAGGGCTTTGCTTTAAATTCTTCCAAATGTATTAAAAACAAAAACATGTAGCTAACAGGGCAACGATACACACAATTCACGGTTCGATATTTTTTCGATACAAAAAAGTGTCCATGCCCTTTTTTAATTTGTCACTTATCAGAATTATAAATATATATTTAACTCAAAAGGACAGTTTTTAAATTTAATGTTGCTGAAACAACAAAGTAATAAGAAAATAAATAAATCTGATGGAGGAATCACTCATCTTTGGAAAAGAGAGTTTATTACAGAGAAATGGCTCTTTCAAAATAAAAGCTATACTATACGCTTCTTCTGGGCTATATTCTCAGCAGCATATTAAACATATCAGGTCCCCATAAGGAGAATCCTGTGCTAACGGCTGTCTAAATGACTCGGGTAAAGTTTGTAGCATGCTGCTTGTTGTTTTTGTCTGCTTCCACTTGTCTTTGCATGAGGATGATGTCGGAGTAAATGTGCAGTCATATTCGTTGTGTTCCCACTAGTGCTGTCAGCGTTAATCTGAAATGACGTTAACGCCACAACACGGCAAATCTCCGTTAACGAGCTACCGCGGATCGCCCCGTGCGTGGGGCTGGACGGCCAACACGTTAACGAGCTAACTGCGCTAACACACTAGTTCCCACCCATGTAATTGAGCATTGCGTGGCACATCCAACATACTGTTTTACTTTAGTCCATGACGCGCTTACCTTCAGGGTCATACGTCACATGAAAACCAAAATAATTCCAAACGCCAGATCTGAATGAGGGTGGGGGAGGTTCAATTTGCCATGTTGCAAGGAGAGCTTAGCTTCTGTCTGCTAGCTTGCCCTGCGCTCAGTGAATCTGCGTTCGACTACTCCGCCTAGGCTGCACTGTCGAGCGCAGATCCACTGAGCGCTCAACACAGACAGCATCGTCAGAAGGAAAGTTGATAAAATAAATCACAAATGTTGTATTGTTCATACATATGCGTACCGAACCGAAAGCACTGTATCGAACGGTTCAATATCGATACGAATATCGTTGCACCCCTAGTAGATAAGTAATCACAGTCGTCCTGTTTTCACTGATCATCTGTCAGATGTTTCTGTAAGTTGGCTGAATCCACCTGTTTGAAATCCAGTTGACCGGACGTGGACACACACCTGTCTATATAAGGTCCCATAGGTAACAGTAAACGTCAGAGCACAAACCAGTCCATGGAGTGTAAGGAACTGTCTGAGACCACAGAGGACTGAGACCACATTCAGAAAGGGCTTAGTCAGGGAGGTGACCAAGAACCCGATGATCCCTCTGACAGAGCTCCGGTGTGGCTTTGTGGAGAGAGGATAACCTTCAATCAGCCCTGAAGTGGCCAGACAGAAGCTGCTCCTTGGTTAAAGGTACATGACAGCCCACTGGGAATTGGCCAAGTGTCACCTGAAGGACTCAGACCACGAGAAACTGAAGTGTCTGGTCTGATGAAACAAAGACCGAACCACACAGCCAAGATAACAAAGAGTGACTTTGGGACCATGCTGTCCTTGAGTGACCCATCTGGAGCCCAGTGAGCCCCACCGAACATCTCTGCACAGGCCTGATAAAGCTGATGGAGGTTCTGCAAAGAAATCTGGGAGAAATGTCCAGAAATAGACACACCAGGCTCGTAGCGTCGTACTCATACTGCCAAAGGTGACTCAACATTTTGAGCAAAGGCACATGTTAAATTTGTTTTTTTATTTTTAATAAATCTGCAAGAATTTCAGCTTGTGTTACTTTGTCATTCTGAGGTCTTATGTGAACACTGAGTGTAGTCCACTGTGGAGCAAGCCTGTAACATGACAGCGCTGTGATGACTGCTCTGTGAGCAGAAACAAACCCAGGTGTTGTTACCTGGCCTCCAGTCGAGTGTACAGCTGGGTGTTGTCTGTGCGCAGGACAAAAACGATGTCGAACCAGCGCTCGGGGAACAGGTCACAGCCGTGATAGTCCACGATCACGCCTCCTTCACTCATCTTTTCATCCAGCTCATCCACCACCTGCAGAACACCAACAAGCTCCAACACTGACACTCGATGCACTCCCTCAGTCTACCTGCACCGTTAGCAAAACGTTTGTTTTGTCTGCAAGCAGCAAAATTCTGCTAGAAATAAATCCATCAACTTAGTGGAGAGGTGGGCTCTGAGAGGGGGAACCATCAAAGTGTGCTGTGCTTGTAATAATGATATTTAATAAAGCTCAGCACATTAACAGCTGTGGACAGATTCACAGGCCCTCTTTCTTCCCCTGTTTTCATGATGGAGAGAAATGTGTCTCCAAAAGGCTGCAGATGCTTACAATGTGCTGCACAGGCGTAAACTAAGATGTACACATGAACACACGCTCCGATCCATTTTACAAATGCATCCACCTGATCATTTATGCACAGTTATTACCTTCAGCTCACAAATCTGATCGTTTTCTCTTTCAAAAACCTTCCTGCTGCTGGTCTGTGGGTTGTTGTCAGACTGTGTTTGTGCTCATTGTTGGGCATTAAAAAAAGTGGTTTGGATTTTCAGGAAGGAGTCGCTCTCGTGACTCATCAAGTGATGTCACTGACTGAGTAACTGGTGGCAGGCTCTTTGAAAAAGTAGCAGGTACTGGAGAATATAGATGTTAGTTAAGTTTTAGTTAAATATATTCTCTGCCTCAGACATCGTTGTGTTTCTCTGCTCTACAGTCCAGTGTGGAAGTTCACTCACCCTGTCCTCATCCAGAATGGGGCACTGGTACTCGTCATCATATCCATCAAACAGTTGTCCTGGAGGAAAAAATGTTTTATATGCAGAGTTCAGATTCAGTGTGATTGAAAGCAGGGCCATCAACAGAATCACTGGCTGTAAATCACTTTGTGTAGACGAGTTAGTGAAAGTGTAATAATTGTACTGAGAACATGATTTCTGCTTTGGGTCACAGACACCGTGTGCTGTAAGTATAAGAACATGGAAAAGATGGTGCAGACAGCTGCACCTGGTCAGAGTGGACGGGTACAAATGCCAGGATGTTGATGGCTCCACCCTCGTGGAACACAAATCATGTGTGTGACATCAGAAGAAACAATAAGATGAGTCTGTTCCACTCATGTACCAGAGGGAATCTGGAGGCCACAGCAGCTGTGACAGCTGTCATCTCCACAGTCAGCCTTTGTGTCACAGCACTATTTCATTTAATCCCAAAGTTCTGAGTTTATTCTCAGAATGATCAGGAACACTTTGTCCCTAGCATGGTAGATGTTTCTGTCTTAATGTCCATTAGTTCCCAAAGTTCCTTTACCTTCCTGGGCCAGGTCTCCTATGTTGACATAGGTCAGCCCCGTGCGCTGGGCCAGTTCCTTTCCTAGAGTGGTTTTTCCAACTCCGGGAGTCCCTGTAGGAAGAAGAGTTAACAGCTGAATTCAAATTCAAAGTTAGTCTATATTAAATATTTGACTTTACCCCATCTGGTGATGAGCATCCGATTGATTCTGCAGTAAAATGCTCAGTTTTGTTCTTCAACTACCCACCTGGCATTTAATAATTCAGTAGAAGTAAGAAATACAGTGATAGTGGTGTTACTGGGGGGTTTCAGCTGCTGGGAACCGTCTCTGCTGTGACTCAAGGCTATAAAGTAGTGATAGTGATGATATTTGAATCTTCTGTTGACCATACATCTAGTTTACCCATTTAACTCATAACTGACTTCAGGAGGCACAGACACTCCCCTCATTAAAAATGGAGAACGCCTTCAGGTTTCTGGGCACCAACATCTCAGCTGGACCCATCACCCTGGTGAAGAAGGCCCAGAAGCAGCTACACTTCCTCAGGAAGAAGAACCTGGACCAGGAGCTGCTGCTGGCCTTCTACTGCTCCTCAGTGGAGCGCGTGCTCTCCTACTGCCTGGTGTTTGGTACTCAAGACCCACTGCTGAGAAGAGGAAGGCTTCACAGAGGATACTTAACACTGACCAAGAAAGTCACTGGCTGCCCTCTGCCACCCCCGGAGACCATCGCCAGATCCTCCTGTCTCAGGAAAACCAGGGCCATTACAGGTGAGCACCCTGCTGCACTCTGGTTGGTGCCTCAGGTCAATCAGGTCCACACGAGCCCCCCCATTGGAAGTCCCAGGCTATCATGACATTAGTGGTTATTGTACCTTTGATTATATAACGGGTTGGTAGGTTACTCACATGCTTAAAGGTGGAACTATAGTAAAGATAAATAATAGATGCTACATGGACCTGAAGCTGCTGGAACACCTTCAGTGTGCTCTGGCATTCATTCTAAGAGTAAGCACAATCTAACGCCCCGCTCCAAAACACAGCACTTCATCCTCCCCCGTGTGCACGGAGGCGCGATCATTGTGGGACACGGCAGCTCCACGCGGACAGTATCACCGTATAATCAGTCAGAATAACTTTGGTGTGCTGACACGTGGGTCCAAGGGGAAAACGCTCTAGTATACCCCACGACATAATTACTCGAGTTCTTCATCATGTCACCCCTCTGTGTGCGTGGGACGGGTACATATCTAACAGCATCCAAATACACTGTACACCATTTTCATCATCGTTATTATCGCAGCTGCAGCTTCACAGGACGCGATGGCTGAGATCAGACCACATGGACTCAGCTCCCATGATTACAAACATGTTGAACACCCACTAACTACCCGACATTTAACCGCAGCGCAGGCTTCACGTCTGCAGTGGGGTAACTGCAGCGAGTAACCAGGTGGATAAATGTACCGAACCTGTCAGCAGGATGTTCGGTTGCTTCTTCGTCTTCATAGCTCCAGCAGACACGTGTTTGATGATCGACACCTGAAAGTCAGAGCAGTGCTGTTATTCCTCCATGTCATTCCAGTCAGACCAGTAACGGCCAGAGTTAACAACAAACCTGGAAAACTGGGAACCAGTTCGATGTAAAACTTTGTTTTGTTGTACGCTATAACCGGACTGATTCCACTGCCGTAAACTGAAGCTTTACGTCAATATTACGTCAGTGAGCAGTCAGTTAGCGACAGTTAGACAATTAGTTGTCGGAGTTTAAATTTTACAGCTCCGCACGAAGTGTGTGGGAAACATACGTGTGATTGGTTCAAACTGAAGTTTCCATTGTGCCCGGACAAGAGTGCGAATCTCTGAAAAGCCAGCTGTGTTTCGTACGAGGTAAAGCGAAGTTATATTAGCTTAACAGAAGCTGGCGTCCGAATATAAACTGTGAAATGTGTAATTAGCTAAACAACAGTAGCCTGACAGACGTTTGTTATGAGTTTGACACTCGACAGAGGTCCTGGAGTCTGGTCCTGTGGCTTAACTAACAGACGCAGTAAGTTAGAGATGTTGTCCCGAGTGCTGCGATATTTACGGGCTGTTTTCTCTCTCGTTTCCTCGCCAGCAGCTGTTCAGGTCTCCGGTCCTTCACTAATCTACTGTTCTCTATGGGAAACAGCAGCTTTAAGGATGAACAAGCTTGTGGCAGATAAAGCTACTGAGCGCAGGGTAAGTAACACAGTACTTGAGTGAGTGGATTTCGGATTTGAAGGGAGGGGAGCCCGGGGTCAGTGGGGTCACACTGCAAACAGGAAGTATAGAAACCGTTACTTTATTACAAAGTGCTGCCATTTACATAATCCACGTCCATATGACGTTGTTTGCATGAGCAGTGTCCAGAGTAGAGTTTCAGTGTTCGTTTCTGTTTGGTTTAAATATATTTATTTCACTAAACTTGGCAAAACTCTGACGCTTCTTTCATACAGCCCAACCAGCACTGACCCAACCATTATTTAGGATCGTACAGTAATCACTCTGATGTGCTAATACACACCTCAAATACTTAAGACCAGCAAACTGTCAAATGTTCTGGTCACACTTGATTCCTGTGGAAGCAGTAAGGTTGTATTAGTATGTCAGAGGACTGCATGGATCCTGCTGAAAGCTGTGTTTTCCACATAGCTGTACCTGTTCAGGTATCACCTGCATCTCACATGTTTATGAAGGAATGTAATCTTTCCCCGACCTGATTCTCGTACCATTATTTTGAGGTACTAGCTCTCCATTAAGCACAGAGCAGCCAAGTACCTCTTTTGTCATGTTTTGCATCAATAAATTATGTATTTTTTTGTACTTCGTATTAGGGCTGGGCCATATCATCATATATCATACCGTTCATGGTAATACCGGTACAATGTCAGGCAGCGATAAGAAAATAAAATATCGCGATACAATATGAGTAAAACCGCATGTGCAGTGCCTTTGTTTTCATACGCACATGGCGGAAAAAGCATGGCGGCGAATGAGGAGAGCGAAAGTGGATCGTTGAATGAAACGATGTAGCTTTAATGCACATAAAAAAACAGCTGTTTGTTTAAGTGAAAATACATTTATGTTTTTTTGGGGTTTGTTTTGCACTAATAAAGTTGAGGAGTTGTAAAGTATTTTCTCGTGTCAGTTATATCGTTATCACAAATTTTCAAATGTATATCGTGATAAATATTTTCGGTCATATCGCCCTGCTCTACTTCCTATATATATATCACAGGCAAACCATTGGGTGGATCCGTCCTTTATTGATTTGAGAGAGGAATGTTCTTCTCTTTCTGGAAGAAGAAATGGCAACCCTGTTTTATGCTCCAAGGCTGAGATAAAGAGGAAGAGGAAAAGAGAAGCTAGCGTCTCCTACCTGCTGAAGGAGTCGTCTCAACTGGACCAGAATGAGCCCTGGGTGGACAAATACTCACCCCGCTCACAGGTCAGCACCTTTGCTTGTCATGTACAAACTGCCCTTCACAACACAGTCCACCCACGTCAGCTCAGGTTCAAGTCCGGCATGCTGTCGTGAGCTTTCAAGGCCCTGCATAGCACGATGGAGTCCCCTGATGGGGAAACCTTCTACTACCCACTCAGGGTCTCACCAGGGGTAACTGTAGACTGGAACAGAGTCCAGTCACAGAAAGACCCACTTTTTAATCAGAATAAAGCATCAGGACAGTAAATTTTGATCTGTTGGTCAGTTTCTACTGCTTTGGTGTTAGTGAAATTAGTAACAGGTGTGCCAGAGGGGCAACAACGAGACAACTCCCAAAACGAGAGTGGTTTTACAGGCGGAGGTCCCTGATAGTTACCTCCTCATCTTTTTTGTTTTTGCACTAGTTTTGCATTTGTCTGGGCTCGTTGTCTCAACCAGTAACATGAGGTGACACCTGGACCCTACAGAGGCTGTACAGGTAGTCATGCTCCAGGATCAATACATTAGCATTGCTGCATCTCCCAGCACAGCTGGAGGAGATTCTAGGAGACTGGCAGTTCTTCTAGGAGAGCTGGACAAGGCTGCAAAGGTCCTTAACCTATCAGCAGGGCCAGTATCGATGAGCATTGTCAGAGCTACAAAATGACCTCCAGCAGACCACTGGTGTGAATGTTTCTGACCAAACAATCAGAATTAGACTTCCGAGGGTCAGCCGAGGCCCCGGTGTCCTCTAGTGGACCCTGTGCTCACTGCCTGGCACCATGAAGCCTGATTGGCATTTACCATCGAGTTCCAGAATTGGCACCTCTGACGCCAGGTCATTTTCAAAGATGAGAGCAGGTTTAGAGCTGAAAGCACATGTGGTAGACATAATGGGTCTCGAGAACCTGTGGAGAACATCCCTGTAAAGTCATTCAGCATGACTGGTTTGCTGGTGGTTCAGCGGTGTCTGAGGAGGTATACCCATGGAGGGACGCGCAGACCTCTGCAGGGTAAGCAACAGCGCCCTGCCTGCCATTAGGTGCTGGGCTGAAACCCTTGGACCTATGGTCAGGCTGTATGCTGGCGCAGTGGGCTGCTCTTGGTGCACAGCAATGCCCAGCCTCATGTGGTGAGAGTATGCAGTCGCTCCTGGAGGATAGAATAGAATAGAATTCAACTTTATTGTCATTGCACAGGTACAGGGCAACGAAATGCAGTTTGCATCCATCCAGAAGTGCTTTAGTGATATAGATATATTACAATATATATTAGCAATAGTATAGATATGTGAGTATATTACAGAAATGGGTCTATTATGGTATGTTATAATGTACACGGTATGA